CGCGCGCGCGCACGCACATGCTCAGATGCATGTACCTGCCCTCCTATTCTAACTAGGTATTTAAAAAGCTCATTCTTTGCCCTTGAACATCCCCGTGATGCCCAGTCCAAAGCAGCACCTGGAAGGTGCCCAGACAACCTTACTGGTAAACTATGGTTCTGGAAGCTTGTGGACCCTCTGCAGATTTATATTCCAGCAATCTTTGACTGCGGCTGATTGTCTAATGGGACTGCTATGATGAATTGTTACCAGACTTATTAAGATATAAAAATAGAATAGCTATTGTGTGCTCATTGTCTTCCAAATTAAGCCCCACACCCTCAGCCTGGCATTAAAGACTCCTACCATGTCTGCTTCATCTTTATTTCCCACTCGGAACAGCACAGCCAAGCTGAACCTCCAGCCGTGTCCTGTCCAAGCCCTGCTTTCCCCTACCTCTTAGCCTTTACTGATGTTTTTCTTCCTGCTTGGTATTCCCTTCTTTCTCTGGTAAGATCCTGCCAGCTAGAATGGCACCTTCTTCCCCAGGCCTCCCTGGTTCCCCTAATTCCGTGGATCTCAACCCTGGGTGCAACTCCAGAATCACGTGGGAAGCTTTTTTAGAACTACCATGGCCAGGCCCAACTTGATCCAGATCTCAAGGACAAGGCCCAGGCATTGGTACTTTTTAAAGTGGTGATTCCACTGTGCAGCCAGAGTTGAGAGCCCCTGGGGCTGGTGTGCCCTATCCCGCCCCTACATCCCACAGCATATTGTATTCCTCATCTATCAGCAATCCTGTTCTGCCTGGGTTCTGCTCATTTGTCTCCAGGCCCTAATAGATGACACATTCCTAGAGCTGGTGTCCCCTCTGGCCAACTCTGCAGCCCTGGGTAGAGGCTGGCCCAGAAGTGGGAAGGATGCAGCTGGCCAGAGCTCTTTTCACCTGTATTTCCCTCTAGGCCCTTCTACGTGATTTCTTTCTTTTTTTTTTTTTTTAATTTTTTTTTTCAACGTTTATTTTTTATTTTTGGGACAGAGAGAGACAGAGCATGAACGGGGGAGGGGCAGAGAGAGAGGGAGACACAGAATCGGAAACAGGCTCCAGGCTCTGAGCCATCAGCCCAGAGCCTGACGCGGGGCTCGAACTCCCGGACCGCGAGATCGTGACCTGGCTGAAGTCGGACGCTTAACCGACTGCGCCACCCAGGCGCCCCGACTTCTACGTGATTTCTTAGTGCCCCTCCATCACTAGGGTAAATGAGCTCCCATACGTTAGTAGAAGAGCTGAAGCTCCAAAGAATAGAAATGACAGCTTCTTCTGCTTCTGAGCGCAAAGTTGTCACTCTACGGATGCTTCCCATGTGTGGTTTCACAGCAAACCCCCCAGGGTTGCTGGTGAAGTTGGAGCTTCCCTCTCCCATCCCTGATGCATCCATCTGACTCATTAGTCAGATGGTCTGGGGTACTTTTAGCATCCACGTTAGACTCTGTTCTCTCCCACCTTCCCTGTATCTCGCCACTAGATGGGACTCTAGAGTCCCCAAACCAGTGGCTCTCCACCCTGGCAGTGCTGAGAATCACCTGGGAGCTTTAAAAACCGATAATAAACTTGGAGTATCTGAGGATGGAGGTCTGGGCACTTTCTTTCTTTTTTTTTTTTT